TTGATTAGTGAAGGCAGGTGAAATGGGTTTGACCAATAATCACCCAGCAAAGAAGTGTTGGAGCTGCCACATGAACCCAGGCAGTATGACTGCAGAGTCCATCCTCCCGGTCCCAGCCCCACAGGGCTGTGCCGCTTCAGGGAGAGGCATGCGGAGCCCAAACCTGGCAGGGAGGGTGCCAGGCATAAGGCCATTCCTTTAGTGAGACCCCTGTGTGTTGTGTGTGTGTGTTCGCATAATGTGTGTCATAATATCTAATAGTTTTAAATACAGTCGCTCCTCATGGCCCACCGGTTCTATTTCTGTGAATTGGCCTACTCACTCAGTGTTATTCGTAACCCCAAAATCGATACTCCTGGTGCTTTTGCTGCCGTTTGCATGCGCAAAGTAGCAACATTTTGAGTTGCCCGATGCACGTGTTCCCGGCTGAGGCCAAACAAGGCGACACTCGGCCTTCTTGTTTTAGCTCAAACCTACTTCATCGCAGGCCTTTCGTTGCATTTTTCTGCTTTTTCTTGATGATTTTGCCATTTAAACAAAATGGCCCCCAGGCACCGTGCCGAAGCTCCAGCTAGTGTTTCTAAGCACAAGGAGGCTGGGGTGTGTCTTAGAGCACCTTCGCTCAGGCCTGAGTCATGATGCTCTGAGTTCAACACTAGTGAATCAGTAATGTATACTAATGAAAGTGTCTTGAAACAAAAAACACACACAAAACAAGGCTGTATGTTGATTGGGGGATGTGGCCCGAGGCTCACAGAAACCTCACCCTGTGTTTCCCCAGGCAGGAATGGTTGGTTCAGTGTCTGCTAATCCAGTGTCTGCGGCCACTTTATGGAATCTAACTACCATGAATGAGAGCTAACTGTGCGTGTGTTTGGAGAATGAGTGGACGTGGGTGTGCAGCCTTGCAGTGACAGGGACAGATGTTCCCTGAAGCAACGAATTGTACTTTAGAGCCACAGTCCCTGGGGCTATCGATCCTTTATCTCACCCAACCAGGCAGCTGGACTGACCAGTCCCAGGGGAATGTGGGATCACGGTGGGTGGCACAGGAACCCAGCACTCCCCTCCTCTCCTGAGGTCTTATACTACCCTCGTAGAGTCACTCTCCCACTTTCTAAAAGGCATTTTTTCGTGTCCTCCCTCCCCAGGCCTCTCCCTTTCCCCGCCCCCTTGCGGTAACTGTTTCACAGAAGTACTTCATCCCGGGTCTCCTGGCCCCTTCCCGGCAGCGATCAGCCCGGTGCTTCCCATTGAGAAGCAACAGAACAGGAGCCCTTGTCCCCGTGCCCTCCTGTCACTGTCACCCCACTTACCTCCTCCGCTTCTCGGCTAAACTCCTCCAGGGTTCTCTGCGTTTGCTTCCACCTCTTCGCTCTCATCCTGCGAGCTTTCCTCCCCGTGACCTCACTGAAATCCCTCTAGTTTTGCCCAGTCCAGCCCCTCGGTGGCATCCTATTCAGTTTCCCGCTCTCCTGTTAGCATTCCTGCCGGCACTGCCTCCTGGCTCGCTTTCCGCCTTTCCCTTGCTTCGCTGCTGCTCAGACTCTGAATATTGGGGTGACCCAGAGCACAGTCTTCTATTGTCAATACTCAGCCCCCAGGAGATCATCTCTAATAGGTGGCTTTAAACGCTAGCTTCACTGATGTCTTCTGAGGTTCTGGCTTCAACTTCCTTTTGGAGCCCAGACTCGTGTCCACCCACCCACCCGATGTCTCCCCTTGGATATCTAATGAGCGCCGTGAGCTCAGCATAAGAAAACCTTGATTTCACCTCCTAAGCACGTTCCTCCTCTATCTTCCCACCTTGGTGGGTTGCACCACTTTCCACCCAGTTGCTTGGGCCCCTAACCTAGGAGTCAGGGTCATCGCTGCTTCCTGTTTTGCTCCCGGCTTCCCCACGTCCATCCATCCGCTGGGCCTGCTCACTCTCATGGTCTCTGCCTTGTTCACCCGAGTCCACACCGCCAGCGCCTCTAGCTTGGATGGATGCTGTGGCCTCTTTCTACTCTACTCCCTCTTTGGGGGAAACCAACTCCCCCCAAAACCAAGTTCTTCTGCCGAGTCTATGATTAACCTCTCTACCCAAAACTTTATACCCTTTCTGTCCTGCTCCTGTCCCCCTCAAGATTGAGGAGAATCAAAGAAAAGGGGGGGGGGTTGAAGTCAATCCGGACCCTACGGGGCCCTCCTGGATACAAAAGCCTTTCCGTGTCTCCTGGTTCTTGTTTGTAGAAAAAGGCTTTAGTCTCCTAGACTTGCCCTGAGTTCCAAAGAGCAGATTCAAGCAGTTACTAATTAGGGAAGTGAGGGAACACAGAAACACAGGAAAGAGCAGGCCCCAAAAGTCCTAAAGAAAACAGCAGGGTCCGAGCGGGAATTGAAAGTCGTAACCAGTCACATAGGCTCTACGTAAATAATAAAACACCTCAAGCATTACTTTTACTCTCTCTTAGAAAGAAATTAAGGGATCAAAAGACCATGATTTACTATTTTGCTTTGCAGGAACAGACAGGTTGATCACCAGTGACACATGGGGTCACAAGACGTATGAGGGCCAGAAGGTTGCAACTAAGGTCTTATCAGGAAGCTGAAATCACAAAGACCCTTTTTACCTTTTTTTTTTTTTTTCACCTTTAAAAGCCTTGCACCCCAGCCAGCCAGCAAGATGGATCTGAGACAAGCCTAGGTCTCTCATCTGCTAGGCTGGCACCTCCTGGACTAATTAACCTTTCTCTGCTCCAAACTCTGACGTTTCGGTTTGTTTGGGCCTCACTGCATGTCGGGCACAACAACTTGAATTTGACAAAACCCCACTCCCCAACTTTGTTCTCCACAAAGCAGCCAGGGTGATCTTTTAAAAAAGCAGAAACCAGGAACTTCCCTGGCAGTCTAGTGGTTAAGACTTCCAATGCAGGGGACACGGGTTCGATCCCTGGTCGGGGAACTAAGATCCCACATGCCTTGTGGCGTGGCCAAAAAAGAAAAAAAAAAAGCAAACCAGATCTTGCCATCCCTCTGACTTAAGTCCGCAAGGGCTTCCCTCACACTTACAATAGGAGCTGAAGGCCTTCAATCCAGCCCCTGCCTGCTTCCCTCTCGTGCCAGATCCCCTCCCTCCCTCTTGCTGCCGATGGCCCCACCCCAGGAAGCAGTTCCTGCCTCAGGAACACTGGCTCTGCCTCTTCCTCCCCCGTGGGGCTCAGCTTTCCACCCACCCTGTTTCATTTCTTCCACGGCCCCATCACTCGGTCCCCCGCCCGGGCCCCGTCATACTAGCAGCCTGCACGCCCCCAGACTCAGCTGAGCTCGTGACAGTGAGGACCTGCTAGTCCCGCTCCTTGCTGACCCTTAGCGCCAGCACAGTGCTTGGGACGCAATAGGGGCTCAATAAATGTCACTGAGCAAATCTCAGTGACTGAGAGCAAGCCGGTAAGTCGTTCACACCTGAAAAACTGCTCCTACGGCAGGAAGGACCTACGAGTAGACACAGTTAGTCACCTTCTCTGCCTTGATGCCCACAGTGCAGCAGCAGGGGAGGAGCCTACCTAAAAAATCCAGACCCCAGGGACCTCCCTGGTGGTCCAGTGGGTAAGACTCCTGCGCTCCCAATGCAGGGGGCTGGGGTTAGGTCCCTGGATGGGGAAGTACATCCCACATGCCACAACTAAAGATCCCACGTGCTGCAACGAAGATCCTGTATGGTGCAACTCAAGACCCGGGGCAGCCAAATAAATAAATATTTTTTAAAAATCCAGACCCCAGACACACCCCCGAGACTGATTCATTACAGTTCAGGCCCTAATTAGGCATTTTAAGCAGGTACCTCAGGGGATTCCACTATGGCTCCCCTCCCCCTCCATACCTTGTGAAACACTGGTTTGGAGCATACAAAGTACCACCACTATTTTGAATTCTCTGTTTTCAACATTTATCTTTTGGGGAAAAAAATAAATTGTGTTAGAGGAGTGACGTTCTATTGACTTTAGGAAATAGGAATGTAGCTAAACCTGGTTTCCAGGCTGCGTGGAAGCAGAGCTGTGTGGGAACCATTTCTTTTGGCATCATCACTGGAAATAGGTATGTTTTCTTCTCCTCCCCTTTTGGAAGTTTATGTTTACTGTTTGGCATACTTGACTAAAGTGAGCTACAATAACTATATATTAACCTAGTTCAGTAAGGAGAACACTCTTAGAAATTAACCTGGGGCGAGTCCTCAGGCAGTTTTCTTATTCCCTAGAATGTAGTAAACATTTATTGAGCAGAACTAAGGGTTAAATGCAAAGGGTTCCTAAGTGCACTTTGCTAGGCAACACAGTCCTCACCTTCAAGGCGCTCCAGACCCGGTCAGGGACACAGACGAGAGAAGATCAGTGGCGTGTTGCACAGGGTGCTGCGTGGGCATGGGACCCAGGACTTCTGGACAAGGGGAGGGTAGCTCAGTAACGCAGACCTGGGATGACGACGGCCTGAGTTAGAATACAGACCAGCTGGCGCAGTGGTTAAGAATCCGCCTGCCCATGCTGCTAAAAAAAAAAAAAAAAAAGAATCCGCCTGCCAATGCAGGGGACATGAGTTCGAGCCCTGGTCCGGGATGATCCCACATGTTGTGGAGCAACTAAGCCCGTGCGCCACACCTACTGAGCCTGCGCTCTAGGGCCTGTGAGCCACAACTACTGAGCCCACGTGCCACAACTACTGGAGCCCGTGTGCATAGAGCCCGTGCTCCGCAGCAAGAGAAGCCACTGCAATGAGAAGCCCGCACACCGCAATGAAGAATAGCCCCCGCTGGCTGCAACTAGAGAAAGCCCGCTTTCAGCAACGGAGACCCAACACAGCCAAAAATAAGTAAATAAATTTTTTTTTTTTTTTAAAAAAAGAATAGGGCTTCCCTGGTGGCGCAGTGGTTGAGCGTCCGCCTGCCGATGCAGGGGACACGGGTTCGTGCCCCGGTCCGGGAAGATCCCACATGCCGCCGAGCAGCTGGGCCCATGAGCCATGGCCGCTGAGCCTGCGCGTCCGGAGCCTGTGCTCTGCAATGGGAGAGGCCACAACAGTGAGAGGCCCGCGTACCGCAAAAAA